CTCCAAGACCTGCAAACTCCACTCCCTGCAAATCTCATTCCTGAAAACACTATTACCCTGAAAACCCCACTACCTGCAAACTCTGCTTCCAGCAAACCCCACTCCCTGCAAACCCAATTCCCCTGCAAACCCCAATCCCTGCAAACCCAATTCCCCTGAAAACCCCACTACCTGCAAACTCTGCTTCCAGCAACCCCCCCTCCCTGTAAACCCAATTCCCCTGCAAACCCCAATCCCTGCAAACCCAATTCCCCTGAAAACCCCACTACCTGCAAACTCTGCTTCCAGCAACCCCCCCTCCCTGTAAACCCAATTCCCCTGCAAACCCCAATCCCTGCAAACCCAATTCCCCTGCAAATCCCAATCCGTGCAAACCCAATTCCCCTGCAAACCCCATTCCCTGCAAACCCAATTCCCCTGAAAACCCCACTCCCTGCAAACCCAGTTCCCCTGCAAACCCCACTCCCTGCAACCCCCACACCAACACTCTGCCCTTCCTTGCCTTGTCCTGGGACAGGCAACGTTTTTGTCTCAAACCCCACGGCCTGGAAAAACTTGTGTGCCCCTTCCAAGCAGCTTATCCTTTCCTGGAAGAAAAGGATGGGATTTAGGTGGAGTTTGCTCCAAGCAAGGGAAACTTCCCAAGGCCGGGCAGCTGCAGGAGCCTGAGCTCACCTGAAACACCTTGTTCTGCAGTTTGATTTTCCGGTATTTCTCCTCCTCTGGATGGAGGTAGATGTTGTCCAGGTACCTGCAGGAAGAGGGAGGCACTGCATGGATCAGAGCAGGATGTGCTTCTCCAAGGTGGGACAGGAAACAGAGAGCTCAGAGTATTTCTCCCAGAGAAAAGAGGAGAGTAAAACACATCAGTGTTCTGGGGCCAACCAGCAGCTCCCAAACCTGCTGGGTTGGTGGCCCAACTCTTCATTTTAAAACACCTCCAGGATGCTGAAATTGGGTCAACTGACAACTCGGGTGGTTCAAGAGTTCAGTTTTCTTCCCCCAAAAAAGCCCCTTTGCCTGGAGAACAGCAAGAACACCCACCTGGGAAGGGCCCAGCCCTCCGTGCATCCCCTGGGCCCTCCTGCTGCTCCAGCCCCTCAGGACAAACCCTGACAGTGCCTCAGGAGAGGGACGAACCCCTGGTTGGCACCCCCTGACCCCTCCTCCCAGTCCAGCCCCTCAGGAGAGGGACAAACCCCTGGTTGGCACCCCCTGACCCCTCCTCCCAGTCCAGCCCCTCAGGAGA